GCCGCGTCCATTCCCAGAAAAACGCCCCTCCGATAATAGGGATTACCCTGCAGAGGGTAGTCCCGAGGGAGGCTAAAGGCGTCGCAGGGCAGCCACCCCACCCGCCCCAAGCCGGAGGGCGCCAGGCCGAGCAGCGTCGCCACGCCGCGGTGAAGTGGCCCCGGGGCGTCCGCCCACCCGTGAGCGGAGTCCCCTTCTTCGAGGCCCGCCCGAAGGACCTCCTCGCGGCACCGCGGGTTCACACGGAGGTAACGCGGCAACCCTGGAAGAAGTGACTCGATGTCGCGAAAAATCGCAGGATCGATTTTCGCACGCCGGCAGTGCGCTACTAAATTATCCCCAAACGTCGGCGGGTACTCCATTAGCGCAATAAAAAAAAAGGAAAAGGAAAAAAGGAAGCTAAAAAGAGGTCGTACAGAAAGTCAGGATGGATATGCCAAGGTGATTGTAATACGTTTCTGTCATTTTGATACAGACAGCATACAACTACAACCTATATCGTGAAGAAACACGGGAGTAAGTAAAATATGCGTCCGTCTAAAAAAGATAAAAAATTCTGAGACTGATTAAATGAGAGGAAAGGAAAAAGGGTTTATAATAAAAGCTCACTATTACCAAGAATAAATTAGATTTGAACCATTTAAAATCGACACACTACCACATGGAAAATCAAGTAGTGTATTATCCATAAATATGGATTTATACGTATTATTGTATTTTCTTGTACCTTCCCTCTCCAAAGAAGGGTAGCCTTTTCCATTTATTCAAGGTAAGGAAAGAAATGCAATAGGGGGTCAGACAACACAGGATAACCCCTCAGTATCACCAATCGTGCCAAAAACAAAAGAAAATAATATATCAATTGTTTGCTACCAATGAATCCCTTGAATGACTTTATACACCCACATTCTCAGCATGAGCTGTCTGCCATTATGAAGGCATAAACCAATCCTCAACGCCACCCGAAAGAGGTGAATTATCGTCCTCTTTATCCATTAGCAGCATATTCTCGTCGGTTTGCTGAGCAAATATGCTGCTGGCATGACTGCCCACGGGATTTGGTCGCTCTGGCGGCGCTTTAACAAATAATTCCTCCGGATATCGCACGGGGGTAAGTTTAGCCTGCTGCGGTAGCCCATTCCAGCGTTCCACGACACGAAGCTGTATAGGGTTAGACGACAAGACATGAATATCCACGTCAGGGTTGAGGGTTTTCATCATGACTGCCACAGCTACTACGCGTTCTGTCGAAGTGATCCGATTCGGCTGCACCAAAAAGTCTTCGGGATGCGTCTTAATCAAAGAAGCTTGATGATCCTTGGGATATTTTTCGTTCACAGAGCACAGACCATCGTCCGGGGACATCACCAGACTAGGCATCGCGCTGTCATCACATGGACGAATAAAAGTTAAGGCTACGGAGCTATCGTCGACGTCAGCCCTATCACCACCCAGGCGCGCGTCAGTGCTCTCTCCATTTATGCTGTCCAAAAGCGACTGGCTGAAGGACGGAAACGCCTTCAGTTCGGAAGTCTGGGTCCTCTCGGCCTCCTCACGGAGCGCTCGCAGCGCGTCAGGGGTGGCGGGACCACCCACAATGTAATGATGCGCCAACAACTGATGAGAAAAAGGTAACACACGCATCATGCTCCACTCTGGACTTTTCAGCAAGAGTCCAATGCGGTACAAGGTACGCTTAATATAACGACTTTGCACGGTGCCATCCAGCTCACGGTCCCGGCGAACGAGCACACGGATGCTTGAAAAGGGAATAAAAATAGAGTCGTAGTGAAAAATCAACGATTCCATCCGTGGGCAGAGAAGCACATTATGGTCAATCACTGCCACGCGCCCTTGAACTATCCACCGCCGCGTGGGATCACCGAGAGTTCCAAGCTGGCGTGTGGCGGACCCCGCGGCGTCGCCTAGGTTAGATTCAAAGGTCTGATAAAACAAAAACGCGTCGTACGGGCGCGGATGCGCCAAAAGACTATCGAGCATCGCCATGTTAAGCGCGAGCGTCGAGCAGATAGGGTTTCCGACATCCACGGTATCGCGCCGGTACTCACGCTGGGCGAACTGGGATGCCTCATGGTCGAGGTTGAGGCGAAATAGATTGCTAAAGACCGCCCGGTACATCAGGTCGGTGACGGGCATCCCCAGCTCATGCGCTTGCACGACGCAGCGAATGCCGTGGGACACACTCGTCGGGTTCAGCAGCAGCAACGCACTGAGCGTCTCACGGCTGGGCTGGACGTTGCGGGCCTTCATGGACTCAAAGAGGACAACGCCCTTTTCCCACCTGTCCGGGCCCCGGAGCGTCGCGAGAACGGCGTTGTAGTGGCCTGCGGTTAAATCCACCTTGTCCTTTAGGGCATTTAAAGTGGCCAAGGCGTAGGACGAGCGGGCCCGCATCGGGTGGGCACTCGCAAAGAGCCGAAGTAACTCCAAGTACACCACGTTATTCGGCTTCGTTCCACGGCGGACGGCTTGTGAAAAAACCTGAAGACCGTCGTGCCATGCCCCATGGCGCCGGCATGCGTTCATCGCCGCGTGCAATGCGTGAGCGTCTAGGACATATTGGTCCTCCCAGATTTTTTCGCACTGCTCTAATGCTTTACGCCAATTCCCTGTATTTCGGTACGTAGCGATCAGCGCACCACGCAGCTTCTCATTAATCTTCCCTTCCTGGGCGGCCGTCTCCCAGTACTCTAGCGCTTTCTGTGGTTGCCTCTGTTCATTGGCATGAGCCATGAGAAGAGAATAGTGATGAGAAGTGAGCGGAAAGTTAGTGTCGCGGAGCCCTTGGATTATAAGCTCGGATCGATCCAACCGACGCATCGCACGGTTCGATTTGAGAATAGATAAGACACTGTCGCGGTCTAATTCCTTTAAAGCGATGGCGCGAGCGACCGCAGCGACCAGCCCTTCGCTCGGAACATTCGAAATCATCGCAGTGACCGAAGGTTTTGCATCACTGAGTCGGTGAAAGGCATTTTTGCGCTTGCCGTACAGAAGCCGCCCAATATCTACAGGATTTTTACGCTGAGTAGAGGCGCACAGGTATCCCGATACACAAAACATTCAGCACGAAGCAGTAAGTTGAAAGCTCCTTTTGTACTAAGTCAAAATGGGAAAAAAAAGGAGAATCATTTATCCTTTTACCTATTCAGCCAATGATACTATCAAAGTTAATCAAAAATTTCCCCCCTTCCCCCCCTCCCCAACAGAGTTGGAAACAAAAACAACAATATCTGGAAACCTCTTTCGAAAGCATTACATATGTATAAATATAAGAGCATTGTACGAAAATTACGCTGGAATGCCATAACACAACATAAACATTATTTATACTTTGTCTTTCCTACCATACTTTCCTCCTCAATATGTCAACCACGAAGGAGATAAAAATCAATGAAATTTGCAAAGACGGAAGCAAAGATTGTGAAAGAGACTCCATTCTTGTAGATAGATCCCAAAACACTGATCACTATTTTTTTTCATAGATGCTTTTTTTCCGTGAGTTCATTTACTCATAAAACGCAAATATCACAACTCAAAAGTGCAGAAGGTTATCTGATGAAAAATAAATAGGGAAGAAACACAAATAATTAAATGAAAAGAAAGGGAAAAATGTATACCAGTATATGAATTGGGTATTTTTTTTTCCTGTGTGCAATATTTGCACGTTAGAAGTTCTAACAAAATATATACAATTTATATAATGCCTCACTTTTGTTGATACACTATTTAAACAACAATAGTAAAAATCAGAAAAAAACGAGACTGATCTTTTATAGAAGTTATAAAATTAAAATGAATGGTACAACACTTTTTAAATTCATCAGTAAATGATTGTATGAAGTAGCTCCACGCATGAAAACCAAAAAAAAACGTTACTATGCAATGTATATACTATATATCTGTGTGATAATCATCCTAAGTGTCGCTCAAAACACCACACAACATCCCCGATGCACCAACTGAATTGACGTCTTGTGTTTAGGGGAAAAGAACAAACAAGACATAATTATGAGATTAGCTTTCGTTTGGCGAAAGAAAAGAGAATATGTAAAAAGATGATACTCTACTCTTCAAAAATAACAGCAAATTAAAAAAACCTTAAACAATAACTTGGAAGCCCTCAGAATCACAGAATAGCATCTAAATAAGGAACCTATCTCTGAATGAATCTATATAGTGCTATAGTGATCGAACACCCTGCATTAAAGCTGGGAATGTAAATCATGCTACACTTTTCTGCGCAAGCATATGAAAAGGTGGGTGAAATAACCTCACCACAAATCATGACCTGACTATACATGTTATCCGATGTATCGAATCAACGCATCCGAAATGTAAATAACAATGTTCAAGCCCAACAATGTGTTCCGCAGAATACTAAAATCCACCACAAACCCCTTATCATGTCGCTCGTGGATTCGGAACAAGTAGATACCAAGGATAACCCGTTTTTCCCCCTCATCCGTGTGCTTGGTCAAAGCTGTTTTTTCACTGGCGGGATGGGCTCCTGTCTCGCGGTGGTGTATTACCTGCCAAGTCTGCGGTGTTGTCCGCACGACGAGGTGAAAAGGTGAGACCACCTTCCACTCCATCCCGTAGGAGCGCAGGACGCCGTAGATGGACTGAAGAGCCTCCGCCGCAGTCCAGTCCGTCATCAGCCCCACCCGCCATCCGCAGTTGTTCTCGACCAGGAACTGCTCCTCCTTCGCGGTGTAGACGGCGTGCTTTTGCGCGACCGACCCCACACGAGGGCATTCCGACAGGCTCAGGCCCATCTGGGAAGTGGCGCTGGTCCCGCCAGGGGGCTGGGGGCCCCGGACGCGGCTGAGCGGCGTCATCCCCGGCAGCGAATTTGGCCG